CCCATATATTGATCAGATACAACCCCTGTCCCCATATATTGATTCAGTTCTGCAGCAGTCCATGCAGGGGACCATGGTGCGATGGCCAGGTATAGGCACCTGGGAAGACATCCTGAGACCATTGCACACTGAGACAGCACAAAGGTGACTGTGGATTTAAGTTCTCAAGTAGCAGGAAATGGGATTTAAATATTGCAGAGCTTGCAAAGGTGGGTCCTCTATCCCTGTGCCTCACATTTCTGTCCCCAAACTGAGTATATTTACTACCCTTTTTTCATCCCCTTAGTCTATATCTAATATGGGCACACTGATATATCTTTATATATTCATACAGCTCACCTGAGGTCAGTAGATCTTTCTAGATATTTCTACTAACATACTGAATGTTTATATTATGGGTATTAGGTTTCAGAATCAATAACTCATGGAGTTTTACTTGAGTATGTCAATACCATCTCAGGACTATAGTTTTAGGCCATCTATGGAGTAAACAAAATAGAGATGCATTCATTTCAATTTATTTCACATTCAAGAAGTTTTTTTCAACCGTAACTGTTAGAAACTTAGAGACAGTCCCTCAGTGCAGGCCATCTGCCTTGTACTGAAGCATTAGTGGAATCCTCGAGTGGCATTGTTCAGTGGCCTAAAATGACTGAAGGCATCTCTTGTCCTGCTATCAGTGTAACATGGAATGGCCAGGATATTGTCCAGGTTGGATATTAGGAAAAACTATTTCACTAGGAGGGTGGTGAAGCACTGGAATGGGTTACCTAGGGAAGTAATGGAGTCTCCATCCCTAGAGGTGTTTAAGTCTCGGCTTGACAAAGCCCTGGCCGGGTTGATTTAGTTGGAATTGGTCCTGCCTAGAGCAGGGGGCTGGACTTGATGACCTTCGGAGGTCTCTTCCAGTTCTATGATTCTATGATGAGGAAAAGTCCTTGCCTCGGAAACTTCACAATCTAGGTCAGTCAGGAGGCAACAAATCAATCAAATGAACAAGTGAGGTAGAGAGGGGTAAAAGAAAACAGAGTTTAGCATAAGAGCAGGAGTCAAAGCTAGTTGGTCCTTCTGAGGTGTTACTAATGATTTATACTGGTATAAGGCCAAAATCAGGGCCATTATGCTGCAGGGAAATATTAGCCCAGTCCAGACATCATTAATCAGACAAAATCCCAGTGTGCTAGCTAAGGCTCTTACTCCAGTCTGTGCTTTGCTAGGGCAAAGCTCACTCAGGCAAAATTCCCATTTACTTCACTCTAAGAATTAATACAGACATAGGAAGGGCATCAAGACTTGTTCCATCAGCAGCTAAACAGGTATCCTATCTCCTTTTCCAAATAAATATTCATTAAAGACCATAATAAACACAACAAAGGAACTGAGAATTACACTCCAGCTGAGATGTTAGCCTGAAAAAGCAGAGATGTGTGTGGGTCATAACCCAACATCCAGCTGAGAGATTATACCCCAAAGTGTCCACCTTGGAGTTTCTTGCATCATTTTTTGTAAGCATAAGGCATTGGTTACTTGTGGAGACGAATGTGAGATTATTTGGCAGTGCCTATGTTTTGTTACTCCCAAAGGCCTCTCCCAGCACCTATGGCACTATAAAGATATCATGGAGTTTCATTCATCTCGTGAATGCTGCAATGGGTTGTTATAGATTGTAACATTTATTTTACAGTCATTGTATATTGTATAACATATGCAAATTTCTTCACAAACAGGACTTAGTTTATTTTGTGACTGGAGGACAGCGTGTTACACCACTGATGCTTCTTTGACTTTTAACTCAGAATGGCCAATGCTTACTGAAAGGTGCTGTCATAGTGTGATAATCAGAGGGACAGAAGGAAGACTAGGTCAGAAGGCCCTGGAGCTCCATGCCAAGAAAGCAAAGGTTAACCATGGCCAGGAAGCAGCTGGAACTTTCTGGAGTTTTTTAAAGATCTGCTTCTAGGAGTAGATAAACAGACAAGCTGACCTGCAGAAGGAAAGTCCTGTTCTGTTTAAAGTTGCACTCTTCTTTCTCTCTCACATCTACACTGCATGCTTCTTTTGAAATAAGCTATTCCAGAAGAATTACTCCAAAATAGCTTATATTGAAATAGCACGTCTACACCACAAGGAAGCCTCAAAATTAGTCTGAGGCAGGCTCCCTTAATGTGGATGCATTACCTCTATTTAGAGCCCCAGGAGGCGCTGGGAAGTAATTACTTTGAATGGCGCTGTGAAGGAGCTATTTTGAAATAACAACAATGGAGAGTCCACACTATAGCTATTTCGGAATAGGTGTTATTCCTCGTGGAATGAGGTTTACAGAAGTTGGAATAAGCCATCCGTTATTTCAAATTTATTTCAAAATAACGGAATTGCTGGGTAGACACTCTTATTGTTATTTTAGAATAACGGCAGTTATTCCGAAATAACGCTGCTCTGTAGATGCACCCTCAGGGACTGAGAAGGGTCTCAAAGTCTGCTGTCCTCCTGCAGCAGCAAGTAATTTGCCATTTAGTCTCTCTCAAAGCTTGAGCTTTTCTTTGAGAGAGGACATAGGAGTGCAATGAAAGCAGGAAAGTGAAGGTAAACTTGGGAAGCAGGAGATTTTTTAGACCAATTGAAACTATTAGCTGTGTGCCAGACTAGCTAAACTCCTGTTTTTCCCTGGTACTGAAGACCCGTGGCAAACAAGCACAGTGATAGCTGTTATAAAATGACTGCCTTCATTGCCCTTCCTTTATATAAGTTCCTATTTCTTTCCCTTTGTTTTATGCACTATTTTATTTTAGCCTGCACAAGTAGACGAACCATATGTAGATCTGAAATAGCATTAGCAGCCCTCTGATCCCCCAGGCTAATTTACCTTACCAGTTTACTGCAATTATTACAGTCCCTTATGGAGAAGTAGATTGTGAACTGCAGCTAACAACATATGATTTACATGCATGCTTGTTGTTGTTTTTTTTCAAAGCTCTGATCAAGACCTTGTCTCCGTCTGGTGAAATTAGGGTGAGTAATTTCCAAACCAGACGTTCATGAATATAATCCTAATTTATGTGAGAACCTTCATAAGCCTAAACTCCTTGCTGCCAATGCACTTGTAATGCCTTTAATGACTGCAGCTACATAATAGATAGACCTTCAGAAGGACAGACTCATCAATCAAATGTAGCAATCCTTTCCCAGGGAGATGTTGAAGGATTTACCAGTGCTTCATGACATGTACACCTTGGAATCTCTGAATTTGATTTTAAGATGTTTGCTAGGTAGTAATTAAATCAGACCCTGCTTGCACTGACAGTTCAAGGAAATCATATTTCAACTTTTCAGGACATAAATGGAAAACAAATTAGTCCTTGGCCATTACTGAGTTAAAAAGACCTAACTTATGACTTGAAATACTCCCACATAATCATCCTTCCAAAGCTTTCATTTACTGAGTTAATAGTTGCTGCCACAATTAAAGATGTAAAGGAATGAAAGAATCCAAGATCATAAAGCATACATAGTTATTTTTAAAAATTGCCCATCATAACTTTGTACTGTTTAAGAAAGTCATGTTCTCCCTTGTCAGGAAGTGTCAGATATCTCCTTTGTGGTCACATTAAAGTTTGTTTCCCCAGAGGGTCAAATTCACCCCTGTGCAAAGTGCTGGCATAAAGCTTATGTATCACTTAAATTTCACTCATGTCCTGCATTTTCTTCTTTGGTCCAAATCCTAGTGGAGAAGGTGCTCCTCTTAATGTTTCTTGGATGGATGGAGAGGAATTAATGTGGCTAATGGCTTCCAGTCTTGTTCCTCATCAGCATAGTTCTGAATTCTGTTCAGTCTCCCAGTTTTCAGCCCACTTTGTTTAAAAATATTCAACATCAGCTAAAGAATGAACTAGATCAAATGCTCATCCAGTCATTACTGCAATATCTCACACAAAGAGTAGCCTGGTGCCCTTTAATACAAACCCTCTACCAATGAAAAGACCTGTTCCCAATCAGTACAAATGGAAAAAGTGAGGAAGGGGGAGCACAAAAACAGAAAAGAGGAAAATACCTAGTGAGCTTATACTGAGTCGCATTAGAGCACTTTGAAAGTTGCTAGGGCACAGACAACCTACCTAATGTGTGGAGCAGGACCTTGCTTGGGGGTTGGGATGGCAATTGGGATAATAACGAGTGTACATCTAAAGATCAGGCACCAAGGGTGAAGCCAGAGTCAAGGCTGAGGGGCCAAACCAGAGGTTAGATCCAGAATCAGAAGTCAAAAGGTAAGCTGGAGTCATAGTTGGACATAGACAAAAATTGGAGCCAGAAGGCAGAAATTAGAGTGAAGCAAGGAGGCAGGAGCAGGAAGCAGAAATGATGTGCAATCATTGCATATGCTGAGCAGCCACTGTGCTGCTGCCATTTTAGGGCCAAAAAGAAGACTAATTGCTCTCCCAGCCCAAGCCATCATTTGGATGGAGCTCACTGGGCCTGTCTTAGCTTGCTGGGTTGCTTTGCAATCAGGCTTGGAGCTAGTGGCACCCAGTGAGGAGAAATGCTAACAGAGAAGTTAGTAACATCCATAGCCCTGGCCCATCCACGGGTGGGGTTATGTAAATACAGTTCACTCAGTTTGCTTAGGCCTGCTAGATATTCAACTGTTAGAAAGGTGTTTTGCCCATTGTAACCAATGTGGCTGTGCTAACCCTAAATGCAAGAATTGTAAGATATGATCATCAATGCTTGCACTTACTAGGGATGCACAAAATTCAGATTATGTTTAACTCAGTTCAAAGGAAAGAGACGATCAGTGTAAAGAATTTTGGACGCACAAGGGTTTGGCTTTCAGGGCACTATAGATTAAGCTGGGAAGGGAGGTGAATCAGCAAGCTGCATGCCCTTTGGGTGTGAGCTGCAAGACTGGTTTGACCTGTTTCTCATGCTGTTTCAATGATAGAGTAAAAGAAAGGCTCTATAAGGAGTCTCTTTTGTATGTAAATGTATTCCAGTGGCTGCTGCAATCTCTTGTGGCTGGACTGTGCTTTGGGCCAAGAGCTGAAATCACTGAGAGCTGAGATCATTACGTTTGGCCCAGAGTCAAATCCACCATAAGCCAGTGGAAAATGCAACAAGCAGCATGAGCAGCCAACAGGGTGGTAATGGAGAGGCATGAGGAGCAGCTAGCAGAGTGGCAGCAGCAAAGGACAACCAATGGTGAAGCGTGAGGAACAGCCAGCAGACCAGCAACAGTGAGGGGCAACGAATGACCAGCAGAGCAGCACCAGAGAGCAGCAAGCAGGCGGATGGTATGTAACCAGTGGAGTGGGTGAGATGCCTCCTACTTCCCCCATACTCAGTATGTGAGGTAAAGTCTGCAGATGCACCTCTGAACTCTGGTCTGCCCTGACCAAAGACAGTGACTGTGACTGGGGTGGAGAGAAGGGCTGGATATGTGACAGGGACATTTACGTTGTTGGACTTAAGAGCCTGAGAGGAAAAGGACATTGCCCCACCTACTTGAGCTGGGTCGTTTACTTGAGGGTTTGGTTATGAACTTTGTGTGTGGTGTTTTCCCAAATTAGCGCCATGTTACTTCTCTCCCTTTTTATTAAAAGTTTCTTTTCTACACTCAGATTCTGTGCTTGCGAGTGGGGAAGCACTGCCGCTCAGAGGTGCCCAGAAGGTTGTGTGAATTTCCCAGGTTACTGGGTAGGCCGTAAGCCAGTTCTGTGTTGGAAGGATGGAGAGGAACCCCTAGATATTGAAGTTGGCCCTGACTGCTACTGGAACTGCCTGGCAGGTGGGTTACATATATTATAAGACTTCTGCTATAAATGAGAGGAGAGGTCCAAAGGAAAGCTTTGTAGCAACAAAGTAGTGCATTTTAAGGTGAAATCTGAAGAAGAGTCAAGGTGCTTTTTGAAATCATCCTTCTGCCTTTAAACCAAGGCGATGTTCTCTGAGTAACATAACCTAAGAGGTTATTTTCATTTCTAATTTCTCAAGTCCTGTCTCCCGCACTCATGGCAGGACCAAGCACCATCTATAGCATCCCTGACAGGGAAATCAAAGAGTTTTCAAATGGGTCAGGCATGAACATCTCATGCATAGGTTGCTTTTGAATGTATGATTGGAAGAGAAGCTGAAAGACTTTCATACCATTTATTTGATACATTCTAAGTTTCTCTTTAAAATATCCAATGGTGGAGATGCTCAACCCTCCCTAAGCAATTTATTCTAGTGTTTAATAAATAGTAACTAATAATGTAGGGTATATCTTTATGCACTGCCTCCCCTCCTTTCAGAAAGCAGGCTCAAGCTTCAGTGGAAACATCTCCATGCCTTTTTTTTAGCTCTATAGTGTGACCCTGAATCAATTAATCCAGTTGCTGAAACTCGCTGTCATGGGCCTTCTTTATTTTTAGTGTAGACATACACTTAGGCCTGGCCCAACACCAATTCTGTTGAAACACTTCCATGGATTTGCTTGAGGGCTTTGGGTGATAACACAAACTATGAAAATGAAGAATGGGCCCATAAGAGAAACTGTTTCTAGTTACAGTTAGGTGTTAGAATTCTATGTGTAACCACCATTAGGTGGATTTGAACCTGGGATCGATAGAGCTAAGTATAGGAGCCTCTACCATCTGAGCTAAAAGCTAGCTGGCTCCCAGCCCATCCTGTAGAGGTCTTCTGATCGTAGCTGTTTCTGTGGTCTAGATGACACTGCATGGAATAGTGAAACACACATAGGCGTGCATAGCACATTTCATTAGGGTGTGCACCCAAAGAATGTTTTTAAATGCACTCTTTGACCCCCATTAGCCACACCCTCTGCCCCCATTAGCCACGCCTCTGGGGGTAATACTTTTGGGGCAATATGGACACGTGACCAGAAATAAAAGGTTTCATGTGACCACCTCCCTCCCCTCCCCAAGGACTTTTCCCACCATCCTCTTACCAATAGGGATTAGTTTTGCCCTCACCAACCCCCCCCCCCATGCAACTATCCTGCATTCCCTTTAACCCAATGTGTGTGACATTAACTTGGGGGGGGGAGAGGGTGGGGGAGGGGGCTCCTCGGACACGTGACCAGAAATAAAAGGTTTCATGTGACCACCTCCCTCCCCTCCCCAAGGACTTTTCCCACCATCCTCTTACCAATAGGGATTAGTTTTGCCCTCACCAACCCCCCCCCCCATGCAACTATCCTGCATTCCCTTTAACCCAATGTGTGTGACATTAACTTGGGGGGGGGAGAGGGTGGGGGAGGGGGCTCCTCGTGACGGGGCGGACAGGCCCTGCACTAACGAGCAGGAGATAGCCCAGGCCCAGCTGGCAGAGAAGGCCCCGCCCCTCCGACCCTGCTGGGCATGCTCCCAACAGCGGCCGGGTATAAAGGCAGGAGGAGCCCAGCAGGCAGGGAGGCCCCAGGGAGAAGGAGGAGACCAGGCCGGACCGGAGTTCTT